CTGTTTTGTTCCTTCAGTTTTTCCTTTGTTCCTATACTCCTCAGATGAGTGAAATCATTTGGTATTTCTCTTTCTCCGCTTGGCTTATTTCACTGAGCATAATACTCTCCAGCTCCATCCATGTTGCTGCAAATGGTTGGATTTTTCCACTTCTTATGGCTGAGTAGTATTCCATTGTGTATATGTACCACATCTTCTTTATCCATTCATCTACCGATGGACATTTAGGTTGCTTCCAATTCTTGGCTATTGTAAATAGTGCTGCGATAAACATAGGGGTGCATCTGTCTTTTTCAAACTAGGCTGCTGTATTCTTAGGGTAAACTCCTAGGAGTGGAATTCCTGGGTCAAATGGTATTCCTATTTTGAGCTTTTTGAGGAACCTCCACACTGCTTTCCACAATGTTTGAACTGATTTACATTCCCACCAGCAGTGTAGGAGGGTTCCCCTTTCTCCACAACCTCGCCAACATCTGTTGTTGTTTGTCTTTTGGATGGTGGGGATCCTTACTGGTATGAGGTGATATCTCATTGTAGTTTTAATTTGCATTTTTCTGGTGACAAGTGATTTGGAGCATCTTTTCATGTGTCTACTGGCCATCTGAATTTCTTCTTTGGAGAACTGTCCAATCAGCTCCTCTGCCCATTTCTTAATTGGATTATTTGCTTTTTCAATTATTGAGGTGTGTGAGCTCTTTATATATTTTGGATGTCAACCCTTTATTGGATCTGTCATTTATGAATATATTCTCCCAAAGCTGTAGCCTTTCTGTTCTATTGATGGTGTCCTTTGCTGTACAGAAGCTTTTCAGCTTGGTATAGTCCCATTTGTTCATTTTTGCTTTTGTTTCCCTTGCCCGGGGAGATATTTTCATGAAGAAGTCCCTCATGTTTATGTCCAAGAGGTTTTTGCCTATGTTTTTTTCTAAGAGTTTTAGGTTTTATGACTTAGATTCAGGTCTTTGATCCATTTCAAATTTACTTTCGTGTATGGGGTTAGATAATGGTCCAGTTTCATTCTCCTACATGTAACTGCCCAGTTTTGCCAGCACCAACTGTTGAAGAGGCTGTCATTTCCCATTGTATGTCTATGACTCCTTTATCATATATTAATTGACCATATGTGCTTGGGTTTATACCTGCATATAGCCTGTTCCATCGGTCTATGGATCTGTTCTTATGCCAGTACCAAATTGTCTTGATTAGAGCTTGAAGTCGGGGAGCATAATCCCCCCAGCTTTATTCTTCCTTCTCAGGATTGCTCTGGCTATTCGGGGTCTTTTGTAGTTCCATATGAACTTTAGAACTATTTGTTCTAGGTCTTTGAAGAATGCCATTGGTAATTTGATAGGGATGACATTGAATCTGTAAATTGCTTTAGGCAGGTTGGCCATTTTGACAATATTAATTCTTCCTATCCATGAGAACAGGATGTGTTTCCATTTATTGGTATCTTCTTTAATTTCTCTCATGAGTGTCTTGTAGTTTTCAGAGTATAGGTCTTTCACTTCCTTGGTTAGGTTTTTTCCTAGGTGTTTAGAATGTTTTCCTCTTAAAGAAGAACCTTTAACATTTTTTGTAAGTCTGGTTTGGTGGTGGTGAACTCTTTTAACTTATGTTTATCTTTGAAGCTCTTTATCTCCCCTTCCATTCTGAATGATAACCTTATTGGGTAGTACAATCTTGATTGGAAGTTTTTGTCTTTCAGCACTTTAAGTGCATGATGCCACTGCCTTCTGGCCATTAGAGTTTCTGCTGAAAAATCATCTGGTAGCCTTATGGGGTTTCCCTTGTAAGTAACTTGTTGCTTTTTTCTTGTTCTTTTAAAGATTTTCTCTTTGTCTTTGATCCTTAATATTTTAATTATGATGTGTCTTGTTGTGGACCTCCTTGGATTTATCTTGATTTGTGCTTTCTGTTTCCAAACCTGGATATCTGTTTTCTTCCCTAGGTTTGGGAGGTTTTAGCTATTATTTCTTCAAATAAATTTTCTACTACTGTCTCTCTTTCTTCTTCTTCTCTGACTTCTGTAGTGTGAATGTTTGGATGTTTGGTATTGTCCCAGAGCTCCCTTAACCTATTCTCATTTCTTTTTTTTTTCTTTTTTTTTCTGCTCTTCAGCTTGAGTGGTTTCCATTACTTTGTCTTCCAAGACACCCATTCTGCATCCTCTGTTCTGTTGTTGATTCTCTCTAGTGTATTCTTCATTTCAAGTGCTGTATTCTTCATCTCTGGTTCTGATTTACATTTTCTGTCTGCCTGTAGAGATCCTCACCAAGTTCTTCCACTTGTCTCTGAAGTATGGTAAGCATCTTTATAATCATTAATTTGAACTCATTTATCTGGTAGATTGCTTAACTCTCTTTTTTTTATTTCTTTTTCTGTGTTTTTTTATGTTCTTTTGTTTCAACCATGTTCCTGTCTCCTCATTTAGTTTGACTTTCTGTTCTAAATTCTATGAAATAGTGTAAAGGCTACCTCTCTGAGTCTTGAATGATTAGCCTTGTGTAGGGAAAATTGTGTGTGCTTAGTGGCTTTGGCTGGCTGCCTGGAAGCCTAGTGAGCCTGAGCTGGGGATGTTTTGGTATCAGGGCTCTCAGAGCATGGTTGGAGGGCGGCATAGTCAGAGAGTTCCAATTCAAGGGATTTCTAAGTGGATACCAATGGGGTTCAGCCATTCCTCCAAGCTACCAGATCCATGCATGCAGTGCAGCAGTGGCTCAGCTCCATTTTTCTGGGAGTGGGTAGTGACCAGCTCCACACTCATAGTCCTATTCCCAGGCATGGCTCCCAGAGGAAGCCTTACCCCTGAAGCTACTGGGTCAGCACCCACAGTTCAGTGTTGGCCAGGGTACACTTCTCAAGTACCTTTGGTGACGGGCTCTGTCCTGTTGGGCAGCCAGCTCTGAAATGCACTATTTGGCTGATGTGTCTGGATATGGGCGGGGCTTGTGAAGCTTCCTAGACCAAATCCAGAATTGGTATGTGCATGCCATCCCTCCTCTCTGTTCAGTATCAATGTGGGGAAGGAGTGCAAACAGTGTCACTTGCCAGACCTCTGATATAGAGAGAGTTCTAGCTAGTCTCATGCCAAATAGCAGGTGCTTTAGTTTTATAAATTGTTTTATCTATTTTTTTCATTTGCAGTCCAGAAGCACTTTAAAATGTGTGACTTTTTTTTTCTAAGCCCCAGGGCAGGGGATCTGTGTCCAGATCCTTCAGTGATCACAGTGATACCTCTCCCAGCAGCAGTGACTAGCTCTGTGCCCTTGAGGCAGCTGTGACCTTAATGTGCTCTCAGGCTGACACATCTGGGTGTGAGTGAAGCCACCTAGACCAAGTCTGAAACTGGTGTGTGCACCCCCACCCTGCTCTCCAAGTCACTGTCAGTGTGGGGATGGGATGCAAAAAAAATGGTGCTCTCCAGACCTCCAAATGGGAGAGAGTTCCAGCTGTTCCCCTGCCCAACAGCAGGTGCTTTAGTTCTATAAACCCAGTTTTGTCACTTATAGCCTAGATGCACTTTAAAGTGTGGCTTTTTTTCTATGCCTCAGGGCAGGGAATCAGTGTCCAGGTCCCTCAGTGATAGCCCTCTCCTCTGTAGGTAGCTGTGTGGGGGGTGAGGTTCCCTCTATTACCATGTCTCCATCTCCCCTGCCATTTTTATGTGATATTTCTAACCCTCCTTTTGCAGATGGTGCTCACTCAGTCCTCGCTCAGTTTTTATAAAAAGCATTGCTCTGTGTGTAGGTTTAAATATGGTGTGAAGGTGGGAGGAGGTGGGTTCAAGCTCTCTGTATGCCACCATCTTCCCAGAAGTCTTACTGAATCTTTAAAATCCATTAATTAATTAGTGAGTGTCTTGCATATGATAGGATTTAATAAATATTTAGTAAATTCTGCTGTTATTACTCAGACACAATGTGATGTGAAACTATAAACAGTGGGGGTATTCATAGAAGTGGCTTTAGTTGATTCAGCAGGATAAAAGTATTAAATCTATTATAAAAATTTTGTATCTAAACAGGACCTATGCAGAATATCTATTCATGTTCTCTAATTTTAAAGAAGAGAGGACTAGGGAAAATGATTTGCCAATCTTTGGCATTGTATTAGAGGCTCCTTTGAATTAGAATAAAGGTCTCTTGATACCCAGTTTAGTTTTCATTTGACTACCTGTACTAGGTTGAATAGTGTCACCCCCATTAATTTGTGTACACATGGAACTTGGGATGTGACTTTAATTGGACTAGCATTTTTACTTATGTTATCTTAAGATGAGGTCATACAGAATTAGGGTGGGCCTTAATCCAGTAAGACTGGTGTCCTTATGGGAAGGAAAGACAGAGACACAGATAGATGCACAGGGAGAATTCCATGTGATGATAGAAGCAGAGATTGGAGTGACGGAGCTGCAAGCTAAGGAATGCCAAGGATTGATGGCCACCACCAGAAACTAGAAATAGGCAAGGAAGGCTTCTCCTCTGCGGGCTTCTGAGATGCTTGGACCTGCTAACACTCTGATTTTGGACTTCTAGCCTCCAGAACTGTGAAACAATTAATTTCTGTTGTTTTAAGGCACCCAGTTTATGATGCTTTATTATGGCAGCCTTAGGAAACTGATATACTACCCCATGCTACTTCTTTCGATATAAACAGATGCTTTTCTAAATATAATAAAAACATTATGTTCTTAGAAAGTTACATTCTTCATAATTGAAGGAAATAGGTTTTCTATTGGACACATAAATCTTAACTTTTTTACTGTTCTCTGTTCTCAGTTATACTCTTGTGTCACTTAGGGGTTTACAGTATTGTTTCATTCTGGGGTTTTCAAGGAAGTATGTCAGTAAAAGATTTTGCTTTTATTTTTAGGCATAATTAATAGTGGGAGGTTTATGAAGTAAGTTTGTGTGTGTGTGTGTGTGTGTGTGTGTGTGTGTATCTTACAAGCGTTTCTATTAGATGGTTTTTCTGAAATACTCTACTCTTGTTTTCAGATTGCTGAAGCTAAAGGAGGTGTTTAAGTCTAAGTTTGGATCCCTTCCCAAGTTTTATGTTCGAGCACCAGGAAGAGTCAACATAATAGGTATTCCAAAACTTCCTTCTCCTATGGAAGCAACCAGAGTGTGCATCAACAGGTGAATGGATGAAGAAGTGGTACATATACACAATGGAATATTATTCAGCCATAAAAAAAATCCTGCCATCTGTGCTAACGTGGATGGACCTGGAAGGTATTATGCTCAGTGAAATAACCCAGGCAGAGGGAGACAAGTACCATATGATTTCACTTATTTGTGGTATCTAAAAACAAAACAAAACAAAATGAACAAAATAGCAGTAGACTCACGGACACTGAGAGGTGATGGGTGGTTATCATGGGGGAGGGTTTAGAGTGGGTGGGTGGGGAGGGTGAGGCACAAAATAAATCAAGGGGCATGAAAATTCTCAATCATAATATAAGTTGGTGACAGGGATGGTAGTACAGCATGAAGAATATATCTGTTTCTGTACAGAATCATTTCTATAACATCTTCCTATGTTGCTAGATAGTAACTGCACTAGTGGGGGTCAGGATTTAATAATACGGGTATCTGTTGAACCACTGTGTTGTATACTTGAAGCCAATATAAGGTTATATATCAACTATACTTCAAGTAAAAAAAAATACTTCCTTAATGTTTTCCTCCCTTATAAGATGCAAATTTTTGTTACTACTTTTTTTCCTTAATTTTTTCCAGGAGAACTGAAAAAATAGAATATTTCACATAAATCTACTATAGCAAGAGAAACTTTCACATAAGGAACATACGATACTTTCATCATTTCCATCTGTATTATTAATGCTAATTTTGTCCATTAAAATTTTTTTTATTGAAGTGTAGTGGACACACAATATTATACTAGTTTAAGTGTAAAACAGTGATTTAATATTTATATGCATTGCAAAATCATCACTATGAGAAATCTAGTTCTCTGTTACCATACAAAGTTACTACAGTATTATTGACTATATTCCCTATGCTGTATTTTACATTCCTGTGACTTAATTATTTTAGAACCTCAAGTTTGTACCTCTTAATCCCTTATACCTATTTCACCCATACCTCAATCCTCCTCCCCTTTGGCAACCACCAGTTTCTTCTCTATTTATGAGTTTCTGTTTTTTTATTTGCTTGTTCATTCATTTTTGTTTTTCAGATTGCACATATATGGTATTTGTCTTTCTCTGGCTTATTTCACTTAGCATAATACCCCCTATGTCCAGCCATGCTGTTGCAAATGGCAAGGTTTCATTTTTTTTTATGTCTGAGTAATATATTCTAATGTATGCATATGTATATATATACACACACCACATCTTCTTTATCCATTTATCTATCCATGGACAGTTAGGTTGCTTTCATATCTTGACTATTGTAAATAATGCTGCAGTGAACACAGGGGTACATATATTGTTTAAATTAGTGTTTTCATCTTTTTTGGGTAAATAACCAGAAGTGATATTTTTGGTTCATTTTTGAGAAATTTCCATACTGTTTTCCATGGTGGATGTATCAATTTACATTCCCCTCAACAGTGCACAAGGGTTCCCTTTTCTCCACATCCTTGTCAACATTTGTTATTTCTTCTTGATACTGGCCATTCTGACAGGTGTGAGGTGATATTTCATTATGGTTTTGACTTGCATTTCTCTGATGATTAGTGATGCTGAGCAAACTTTCACATGTCTGTTGGCTATTTATACATCTTTTTTGGAAAAATGTCTCTTTAGGCCTTCTGTCCATTTTTTAATTGGATTGTTTGTTTTTCTGGTGTTGAGCTGTGTCAGTTCTTTATGTATTTTGGATATTTATCTCTTATTGGATGTATGATTTGCAAGTATTTTCTCCCATTCAATAGATTGCCTTTTCATTTTGTTGATAGTTTCCTTTACTGTACAAAAGCTTTTCAGTGTGAAGTAATTCTATTTGTTTATTTTAGCTTTTGTTGCTGTGCCTGAGGAGACTGGCCCAAAAGAATATTGCAACAGAGAAAGGAGATACTGGTTTTCTTAATGCTCCACATAACTTGTCACAAAACATAAATATTCAAAGATGATCATTATGAATTAGAAAGTGGAAAAAAAATTTGTGGTGATTCAAAGAAGTCTAAAAATTAGCAGAAAGCAATAACTAATACACTTATGCTAGCAGAAGTTCTTGGCTTAGATATTTGGGGGATAAAACTGAATAACTTTCTACCCATAGTATTTTCATTTTCTGTTAAAATCTGGCTTATGGTTAAGTTTTTCCTGTATGCCAATTTACTTAAGTTTTTCTTATTTCATATTCTATAGTGATAAAAAGTTTTTTCTCTTTTTTCTAGGAGAGCATATAGACTACTGTGGATATTCTGTTCTTCCAATGGCTATAGAACAAGATATGTTAATAGCTGTGGAACCTGTGAAAACACACACTCTCCAATTGGCCAATACAAATCCCTTGTACTCGTGAGTGTTTATGATTGCTGTTGTGTGTAATGGTGTGTATGTATGTGTGTGTGTGTGTTTGTACCCAAAGAGTACAAAATTTTGGAGATCTAAGAGACATCAAATTTATAATAAATCATTTAATTTGTTGAAAATTTGTATCTGACTTCCAAAAGCATCTAAGGCTACTGTTCAATATTTATTCACTTTTCTCATTTGCTCATTCATTTAAGAAACATTCAATGAAGACATTATATGTCTGACATGGTTTTAGATACTGGGTTATACAAAGATGAAAATAACTTTGTCCTTGCCCAGAAGGTTTCTATCATCTATTGAGGTAACTGTCTTCAGCAAAGTCAGGGGTAGTGCCTTTCTTATGTTACTAAGGCATCATCTAATTCTCTTATAAAAGCATCTTGACATGCTATATTATCATTATCTGCTTGTTTGCCTGTATCCCTCAGTAAACTGTAAGTAAATTGTAAACTCTGTGACTTCAAGTACTGTTTCTTCTCCATTGTTCTAGCCTGGTGTCAGACTTAAGAGTCTGTTGTATAATAGATGTAATTATCTAGTACATAAGCTTTATCAAACTTAAGGACATACTTTTTTATTGTTCTTTTAAAATTATTAGCTTGCTAAGATTAAAAAATAATTATGGGTATTGAATTTCATTAAATGTCTATTCAGTATTGAAGATCAGTTAAAAAAATATGCTGGATTTTCTAATGTTGAACTGTCTTTGCATTCCTGGGATGAGCCCTACTTCTTTATAATGTATTATGATGATTTGATTTGCTAATTACAAAAAAAGATTTTGGATTTTGGTATATAATTTGTATATTATATTTTTGGCTTTTGTTCACTGGACAGTTTGCCTACAGTAATGTTTGTTCATTCAGCAAATATTTTATGTGTGCCTATACCAGGTTGTGCAAAATATAATAATTCTTGACTTTTATATTGGACCCTTTAAAGAAAACTTCACATTATTTCAAATATAATTTTGTGTCATTGTTTGTAAACATTTAAAATTGGGTGCTTAATAATCTGTCATATTGATTTACTTAAATTAACAATCATTCCCACAATGATGGTTATATGGTTTCAGTCTCATTTTTTAACAAAAACCAATCCTGAGACAGGTTTAGATGTAGGTAAAGTGTTTGGGTAATAATCCCAGGAGTGGTAGTGGAAAAGCATGGAGAATGAATTCTGAATTAGGGAAGCAGAGGTGAATTAACAAGGCAGGTAGCCCTTTGATAATAGGTAAGGAGCTTCATTCCACCAGGGACCCTAGAAATACACAGCATGCCCCCAGAATTGTCCAAATGTTGTGTAGCATTCATTGCATGAAGATACCATAATTTGTTTACCTATTCACAGTTGATGAGCATTTGGATCATTTCCAGCTTTTGGCTATTATGAATAATGCTGCTATGAGTATTTGTATACAAATCTATATGTGGACATGTATTTCATTTTTCTTGGGTACATACCTAGGAGTGGATTGTCTGGTTTAGCTTTTTAAGAACTTGTCTGTTTTCCAAAGTGGTTGTTCCACTTTACATTCCCAACCACCAGTATATGAGAGTTCCATTCTACATCTTTGCTAACATATCTTTTTAATTTTTAGCCACTCTCATAAATGTGTAGTAGTATTGCATTGCCATTTTAAATCTTAAACTTATTACCATCTTGATAATATTCTTTGTTTTAAGGGTCTGTTCAAATTGCCCATTTTTAAGTAGGTTTTTTAGCTTCTATTATTGGCCTGGGAGAGTTCTTATATAGTGTGGACATGAGTCTTCTCTCAGATTTATGTCTTGCAAATATTTCCATCCAGTCTGTGGCTTGGATTTTCATTTTCTTTATGATGTCTTCTGAAGAATAGTAGTTTTTGATTTTGATCAAGTCCTATTTATTGACTTTTTTCACAGTTTGTAGTTTTTGACTATATTTAAAAAAACCTTTCCCAAACCCAAGATCACTAAATTTATTTCCATGTTTTTCCTCTAGAAGTTTTACAATTTTAGCTCTTACATTTAGGCCTGTGATCCATTTTGACTTAATTTTTGTATGTGGCATGAGATAAAGATTGAAGATTTTTTTTTTGCAAATGGTTACACAATTGTTTTTCACCATTTGTTGCAAAGATTACCTTTCCCATTGAATTATCTTGACACCTTTGTTGAAAAGCAATTAACAATATATATATATGGGCCTATTTCTGGACTCTATTCTGTTCCATTGATGTATTTATCTATTTTTATGCCAACATCACACTATCTGAAAACTGTAGCTTTATAAGAAGTCCTAAAATCAGGTAGTGTAAATCCACTAATATTGTTTGTCTTTTTCAAATTTGTTTTGGCTATTCTTAATCTTTTGCATTTCTGTATTAATTTTGGAATCAGCTATTCTATTTGTATGAAAAAGCATGCTGAGATTTTTTATTGGGGTGGTGCTAAGTGCACAGAGTAATTTGGAAAGTATTGACATCTTAACAGTATTTACTTTTCCTATCCATGAACATAGTTTATCTTTCCATTTATTTAGGTTTTTTTCAATTTCTCTTAGAAATATTTTATTGTTTTCAAGGTACATGTCTTGTACATCTTTTGTCAAATTTTTCTCTAAGAATTTATTTTTTTGATGTTATTGTTATTGTAAATGGTTTAGCCCAGTGCCTGACACACACAGGATAGACACTGGACAAATATTTGTTGGAATAACAAGTAAATGAGTGAATAAAATACATGAGTGTAAAGTAGTGAGTTATGTCTGTTCATTTTCAGGACTTTTTTCTTAGCATTCTACAACAGGAGTACAAGACAAGAGAAAGCAGATGGGTGATAAAATGCAGGAATTAGGGTTAGTGGGAAAATGAGTGCCTGTTTTTGAACCTTGGGAAAAAGCTAGGCAGAATGGCAAGACAGGGATGCTGGAAAGAGCAAACATGAAGTAACGAGTTAGAGAGAAGTTTTTTCAATGACAGATTTAAGCCATATTTCTAATTCTGTAGGAACTGACACTTTTTGGCCTTTCCCTTGACTTTTCTCATCGTACTTCCCACATCTGTACAAATTTCCTACTTGACTTTTCCTGCTACCACTTACCTCTACCTGACCTCCCTTCTTCCTGGTTTTCTTTTCTTTGTGGTGACTTTCAAGATCTCTGCTTAGCTAGGAACAGAGCCCAGTTAGTTTTATTAACATAATTTTATCTGATTTCCAAATTCTGTGACCTCTTTTTAACTGCCAGCAATATATTTTAATTTCTGTGGGTGACAGTAAAGTGCCTGTGAGTTGGACTCATACTGTGTATATTCCTGGAGTGTCCCTAAACAACTGCTCTAAGCCCCCAGGAAGGCCTCCCCTCTCCATCCTAATATGGTGACTATAGAAATGATGCCTTCTTGGCCTTGTATCCCACTTCGTATTATACACCATCACATGACAGTGGTGCATGACTGTGATTTGTGTTCATGTTGTTTTGGCTAAATTACAAGGACTTAAAATAGAAACCCTTTGTCTTTTACCTTTATATTCCTCTAAATGTTTTGCACACTTCATTAAATATTTTTCTTAGGAGATTATGTATCTATGTTGTTGAGTTAAGATAATGCATGGAAGGTACCTACGACAGTGACTGACACATGGTAGGTATTTAGTAAATTATATGAAGAGAACTCAGTCAATGTGGGGAATGTTACTTATTTCCTCACGTTTTTATTGATACTCCCCCCCCAACCCATTTCACATATTTTGTCCTTTGGCTGATCTAGGACTTATCTAGCCATTTTTCATTTTGAAATAATTTTTCAAAAGAAGTCACAAAAATAGTACAAAGATTCCCTCATATCAACTGATGTGTCTTCAGTGCATGATATCAAGGAGGCATACAATGTTCCTCTACTGGTGGTATTAATTTTGATCATTTGGTTAAGGTGGTATCTGCTAGATTTCTTTAGCAATGAGATACTATTTTCTCCTTGCAGTAAGTATCTGGAGGCAAAATACTTTAAGTCTATGTAAATATCTTGTTTGTCATTAAATTTTTAGTTGCTATCTTTACCATCCATTGATGATTCTTTCCTGAAACAGGTATCATTGATTTTGCAAAATAGTGATTCTTTGATTTCCATTATTTCCTCTACATCTTGTTAGATAAGTTGGCATTTGACTGTAAGGAAGGGCCTTTCTTTCTCCTTCATTTAGCTATTTATTCATTTATTAGTTCATATCAACATGGTCATGGAATCTTATTTTATTCAATGAGTTACAATCCATTAGAAACATTATTTGTTTTGTTTGTTTCTTCTTTTTCCTAAACTGTGCAGATGGTAAAATTGGATAGATAGCAGAATATGGGGAAAGAAGACTTTGAGTACTTCTGTTCCAGATAGAGGTGTGCCAAACAGCAGGCCCAGAGGATAGCATTTATGTGATTTATACCAATTTAACAAGGACTATCATGAAATAAAAAGTAGTATAGATAATGCTAAAATATATTGGTTCTCTCCTTTTAATAAGGGTCTGTTGGAAGTAGTTTAGTTATTATGGTCACTCTAACTTCTTCTCTTAGCTTTTAACAGCTGGAGATGTTTGTTGTTTTGGGGTGGGCTATGAAGTATGTATCTTGAAAGTAAATGAAACATGAAATTTCAGTATCATTGTCTTGGCACAAGATGGCAGCAGCCACCCATTGATTCTGCAGTACAAAGCCTCTAGGCTGAAATTAATGGCATCTTGTTTTTACAGGGACTTCAGTACTAGTGCTAATAACACTGAGATTGACAAAACCAAGCCTCTGTGGCACAACTACTTCCTATGTGGATTTAAAGGAATTCAGGTAAATTGGTTCATAATGCACCTACTAGCACTTGAGTTTATGATGTATATATCAAGATTTATTTTATATACTACATCATTTTTGTTTCCTTTTAATATTAAATGTTTCAGTTCTGTTTTTCTAACATGTATTTCAGGGGCGGAGGTAGGTATTGTTGTCTTTGGGTAGTGTTCACAGGGGCAGCAGCAACTGTTTTCATTAAGTCTGACAAACATCCTTCTGTTTTTTAAATCTCTGTTCAAATTTTCTTTTGAAGGATGCATTCTAATAACATTACATTTTATTCTGAAGAGACATATGGATGTATACTGTAATTGGATTTAGAATTGGACAGCACTTGGTATGAATCTGGGTTCTACCCAGCCATGTTAATTTAACCTTTTATGTTTCAGATTTGTTATCTCTAAAATGGTGTCATTGCTATCCCCACAAAGAAATGTTATGAGGATTATACAGTGCTTGACTTATAGTAGACATTTAATAAATGGTAACTAGTGTTGTTATTACTACTTCAGATAGTGTTAAATAAAACATGTAGTGAAGTTTAATAGAATAAGTATTTTCCTTAGAAACCTTGAACATCTCTAATGTTGTGTACAGAAAAAGAAAATGAAATATTTCCACTTTCTCTTCTTATTAAAGAAGGATGAAGGACAAAAAGAAAATTGATTTGCTAAATCAATTTGCTAAAATCCTCATTTTAGAGAGCTTGTGTTCCTTACTGTCTGCCAGTCCTATCTGAAACTTTGTTATGAGTAGCGTAGGACTCAGTGGCATATCTATTACAGAAATGCATCACATTTATTTCTGATGTATAGTCTCATACTCTTAATTTAATGGTGGTTCTTGTCTTGGAGTTACTGCATTCATTTCTTTCTTCATTACCCAAATACATGGTAATAACTTATGGGGAAAGTTTTTGGCAAGTTTCAAATCTTCAGGTCATTTGCTTGTCATGCTCATTAGTGGGAATTAGAGTATTTGGGAGCATTTGCCTGGCAAATGCAATTTGATCTTCCTTACAGCAACATGACTTTTGCAGCATATGGTTAAAGTGGCCTAAAAAACACTTGTTACTTTGTTTTGTTTCTGAGAATTTCAGATATTAAACCTTCCTTTTTTTTAGCGTGACAACTTATGTGCAAAAGCAGGTTTGTACAGTGAATTTTTGGTAGAAAATTAATTTAATATTTGCCAGTTCAGAACCTTCAAATTCAAATACTAGAGAGTTCCAGAAGATAATATGTTTATATTAAATTGAACATGTTATCCTTCGGGGATAGAGCTATTACAGAATTTGGCAAGACCCGTTTGTGTTTTTGAATCTGTTGTACATTTGAATTTAAACATAGCGTGATAAGTTTGTAAGTATGATTCACATTCAAGACACCCAGTGGATCAGTTTATGGTTAAATATATAACATTCTCCAAAGATTTTTTTTAAACAAGCTGTGTGATATTCTGTATGAAAGGGCACTGGCAACAGCAGTGTTTCAACCTATAATATGTTTGTATTTCTGGAAAGGAAATTTTTAGATGACTTGAAATCAAGAAGAGAAGTAAATCCAACTGAATCTCTTTTATGGTGCATGAATTTTGCCAGCTTAGGAAAAAAAGGACGAAAAATTAAGGGAAAAACCTCCATTTGTGGAGTTTCATTGTTACTTGGGTTATTCTTACTAGTTTATTGACATTTATGTCTAGAATATGTATGATGAAATGCATAGTTACATAATATAAAATAGTACTTGTATTTTAGTCTTGAGCCATTTGAGTAATTTGCAAACATGGTGGTACTTTTTCTTCAGGAGTAGGTGACTTTGAATTTATTTTTAATGCTAAGCCACAAAGGTTATGATGTGATATCATCCTAAGTGTCCTTATCTTAGATATTAATCTAAATATCCTTGAGCTTTCCATCTCTGGTTCAGAGTCTGATTATTTTCTTTGTGCTTTCTTATTTGTAGAAATAGTTTTCCTGCTTTATTTAGAGTCTTCATTCTCATTTGTGACTGAATTCTAATCTGTCTTGAAAGCTACTAATGGCTAAATTTTATCTATAAACTCTAGTAAAAATCTGGATTTCCTCATATAGCTCACTTACATTAAATTACATTGACAGTATTCTGGCTCAAGTTTCTGTCTGCACTGGAGAAGTTTTCAACCAGAAACCAGAGACCTGGGTCCTACTCCCAACTCCCTAGATGTAATCTTGGAAAAATCTCTTAATCTTTTGGTGCCTAGGTTTTTCCATAAATAAAACAGACCTGAGAAAGTTTGGAAGATTTTTCCTTTTGAAGAAAGACTTCATAAAAAACAAGCTACTGCTTGGTAATGTTAGACTTTTATAATCAGAGAGTATTGGGATGTGCTACACAGAGATTTAACCTGCCTTACTAATACTTGTGCATTTCTTATCTTGCTATATGAGAAGTCGAATTATAATTATTTCATGTTTTTTCCATATTTGTTCAAATTTATTAATATTCAAGAAAAAGTTCATTCAAGGCAATTTTAGAAAATGAATGAGTAGCTTTTTTTGAACAAAGTAAAAAGTAATCTTCAGATTATTGTACCCTGTGGCCAAAAGCCACTAAATAAAATACCGTATATAGACTCAACTAAATTGAATTACACTAGTTTCTATAAATAACAAAAGTCCATTGATAGACTTTTGCTCCGTGGGGAATGAAAGAACATTTTGCTATTCCTTGAATCCAGCATTGAAGTTACTATGCTGTTGTTCCCTTCCATTTTTAGGAACACTTTGGTCTTAGTAACCTGCCTGGAATGAATTGCTTGGTGGATGGAAACATCCCACCAAGTTCTGGCCTCTCCAGCTCCAGTGCTTTGGTCTGTTGCGCTGGCTTGGCAATGCTCACGGTGCTGGGAATGAGCCTATCCAAGGTAACCAACTTGAATGTGTTAGCCTCACAGAACCCTCTCTAAGTGCATCAGCATCTCAGTTTCGAAATTAGAATGCCTTTTTTTGATTGAAAAATATTATCTTACCTGAAAGGACTACATGTGTGGGCATTTGTTGTAACTTATGTCCAGCTTGTGATAGACTATTGTGGGTAGCTGATGTCTTTGAAACAGTGAGCAGATCTGCAAATAACTGTATTAAAAGGCTCTAAGATTAAGTGTGGAGTTTGAATGCATGGATGTCTTTTTAGATTACCTCATTAACAAGTTAAGTTTATAGCAAGAAATTCTAGGTCTCATAGTTGGGCTTATTTTACTAGTTTTACTGCTTATTTTCAAAGAAAACCTAAAAGCAGTGGGTAAAAAGGATAAAGTCTAGGCAATAAAGAAACTGAACAGCTTATCTGTTTATGCCAGCAGGTTAGTAATTGAAATAAACTTAAAAAAATTACTGCATTACAAAGAGGAAATGCTTATTTAAAGGAAACATAAATCCTACCAGAGGTCAGAAAGCCTCAACTTTACAAGTTTACATAATGTGACTTTGCAGTTCAGAGCAGGTGTGTTTAGCTTTAATGCTTTGTGGAGTTCTGGTTCAAATACAGTGTTATCATAGGTTCTTTTTTAATTCTACATACATACACTACGAAATTTAAAGATGGGTTGAGAACACAGACTAGGCACCACACAGATCAAGAGAAAGTCAGACACATGCTTAGTGTTTCTTAAGTCTGTTTAAACTTTCAGTTGGAAAACTTTGTATGTAAGAGGAAAGAGAAGGAGAAAGCAATGGCTTAGGTAGAAGTCTCTTTAGCTATCATTGTAACTATACATTAGTTAGCTTTTTATAAGCATTGGCCTACTTGGAGGGAATTCTCACTTGTTACTGTTTTTTGAAAGAAAAGAAAGCAAGGGAAAGGAAGTCCATATGTAAAATGTGCTTTCACTGGTGCTATGTTTAATCTAATGGTTTATTTCTTCATTCATTCATTATTCAACTATTATTTATTTTGTGGGTACTTCGTGCCAGGTAATGTTCAAAGCATTGGAGATATAACAGGTAGAATTTTAACTCTCACAGTGCTTATGATCTAAAGGGGGAATAGAGACAAGTAAATAGGCAGCTATAATAGAGTGTGATAAGGAGATGTGTAATATGCTATGGGAGCCGATATAATCCAGATTTAGAGAGGACAGGATATCTAAGCTGAGACATAAGGATGTGCAGATGTTAAGAAATACTGATGCGTGATGACATTGGATGGCCCTGTGTCAAGTGGAAGGAATGTCATAAGGAAATATCTAGAGTAAGAGTGATGCTTGTTGGAGGAATTAAAAGGGGCTTAATTTGGTAGAGCAAATAGTAATATGGATGATAAGGTAGAAGAACAGATACTGGGCCATGTTAAACCTGTTGAGGAATTTGGGTTTTTTACCCTGATAGCAGTGTAAAACATTGCAGGGAGAGGGTAACATGATCATATTTACTTTTTATTAAGGTTATTCTGGCTCTATTATAAATCTAGAATTGAGGGTAAGTGTATCAGCAATAGGGAAATGATTTGGTCTAGGGAAGTGGCAGTGAGAATGGAAAGAACTGGATGATAGATTTAAGGATAAGACAGACCCATTAGGACCTGATCTAGTGTGGGGATAAGGGACAGCAAAAAGCCAAGGATTATATACAGGTGTCTGGCTTGATGTGATTCATTGGAAGAAGAAATATAGATGAAAAAAGTAGGTCTGAGGGGAAGGTCTGATGTTGAGTATGAGGAATCTGTGGGCATACTGATGGGATAATTTAGCATTTAGTTATAAACACTATCTCTGAAGGTCAGGTGGGAGATCTGGACTTGAGATGGTCCCTTTGAGAGTATTTAGTATATAACTGGTTTTTGAAGCCTTAGGACTAGAGGACAATATCCAGTGGAGGAGTATTGGGAGAAAGATAATGAAGACTAGGATAGAGGTCTGACAAGCATGAGCATACAGTGCATGGGCAGGGGAAGAGGTGTCCACTGAAGAGCCTGAGGAGTAATCAGATACCAGAAAGGGGAAGCAGCAGCTGGATCAAGGAGAGAATACTTCATGAAAGGAGTGGTAGTAGCTGCACAAAACTTTGGCAAGAGCAGTTTAAAATAGAAATGGATTGAAGGGTCTATGAGAGGTGAGAAAGTGAAAAAATTTAGTGGATACGGAATGTCTGGCTATGACAGCAGAAAGAGGTAATCTGGTGTCTGGTGGGGTAAGGTCAAGGAATTTATTTATTTATTTATTTATTTATTTATTT